GAAATTAGGGACGGCTAGCGCAGATAGCCCTCGTGTAGCTTTGAACAAAATTCAAAAACAAAACATTTATTCATTAGGTTACACGAAAAAGTCTGTAATTATGAAACGTTATCATAGGGGGCACTAGCATAGCCCACGATATCTTTCTAGGTGAAACGCACAACAAACACTACCGCCGCAAAACGGTGAAAAAGGTTCGCGTTTAGAGTAAAGGTGTCTTCCTCCTCTCTAGCTGAGTACTCACCCCCCCACGGGTTAGTCAAAGGCAGCAACTGGTAACAAGAGTGAACCCCTTCACTGAAACACTTAACGTTCATAGCCTATTCCACTCTTTATTCAGCCACAAGTGATAAACGGGTGACACTGTTTAACGATAATAGATTAATATAAATATTTAGGTATTATTCTAAAAGCCCATGAGCGAAAACAAAGGAGACTATGTTATAATACGCTATGGACACTACTTCTATATCCAGTGCCGACGAGGCCCTACGCCCATCATCAAGGTTCATCGGGCCGACTGGGTTCTACAGATATAGTGGTGGTCTATGGCTCTAGGCGATATATATATATATATATTAGTAGTGGTCTAGGCAACATATATATTAGTAGTGGTCTAGGCAACATATATATTAGTAGTGGTCTAGGCAACATATATATTAGTAGTGATCTAGGCAACATATATATTAGTAGTGGTCTGGGCAACATATATATTAGTAGTGGTCTAGGCAACATATATATTAGTAGTGGTCTAGGCAACATATATATTAGTAGTGATCTAGGCAACATATATATTAGTAGTTGTCCAGGCAACATATATATTAATAGTGGTCCAGGCAACATATATATATATTAGAAGTGGTCCAGGCAACATATATATTAGTAGTGGTCTAGGCAACATATGTATATTAGTAGTGGTCTAGGCAACATATATATATTAGTAGTGGTCCAGGCAACATATATATATTAGTAGTGGTTCAGGCAACATATATATATATACATAACCAGTTTCCATGAACAACAAGTGAAGTGTAATTGATGTAAATTTTATTTAAGTCAATTACAAGTCAGATTTATAGATAAGAACTAATAACACAATACTATTTATTTTATTTTATTTTTTAGTCTGCTTATTTATTTATTATTATTATATTTGAATTAAGTTTGATAAGTGTGTGAATTGCACAGTTTGCAGTAGTTAGATACAAACAATGACGCCCCCTAGTGGCACAGCGGCATGTCCGTGGACTTACGACGCTAGTTAGATACATACAATGACTTGAGTACTTTATCAAGTGTCATGAAGACCGTGCCCTCAGAACCAAGAAATCGCAACTCATTCCCGAATCTATCAACAACAACAATTCATCTGTATTGTTATTGTTACCCTCGTTCTTAATGTTGCCCAATATTACATTTCTGGTTTACTTAATACGTTAAAGGGTTTGTAAAAATAAACATTACCTTCTACCATTGAAGTAAGAAGTGTGACGTTGGCAGCCTTCCGTCTTCCCGCGGGAAGGTTTAAACCAATCTTCTCTAGCTTCTCACGGAGAGATCTTCCTCCATTCTTTGACTTAGCTCTGAAACATGAGTTGCTAAATGTTCATCAAGTCGACAGGAAAAACAAACAGCTACGTCACTAAATAATCACATTGGATAAAATGTCAAAACAGTCTCGAAGAAAGACGTTCATTAGGGTCGGATGACGGATTTTGAAAAGGGGGATCCAAATCTTGGATCAGAATATAATCTTAATGATACAGATGGTTGTAATCTTACTTGTATGTTCATTAATAAAATAAATATCGTTTAATAAAATAATAATAAGGAATAAACCTTTTCCTGTTTTCATTAATGGTAAATCGAATAGTTACTGCTTATTTTACAGTTGCAAAAACTGAGTAATTAGGTCTCTATACTTGTCTTCTTGTTTTTTTCTTTGTTCGGGGAAGAAAGGGTCTGGAATTCCTCTCTGTGGTTCATCAAGAACTACAGATGGAAGCTAAAACAGAGAACCACAGATGGATTAATCACATCAAACTGACCTTTTCGTTTTGGTCATTTGTCTCCAAATGTTAGCCCTAATTATAAACTCCAGATTTATATAGGCAACCGAGGAACAATCGTTACCCTAATGGTGGCGAGTTCTTGTTGAACATGTTTGTTTTCGTCTTTCACAGATCCGTAATTCTGCACTATCATCTACCACCAACTGTCATGACATGTTCACACTGTAAATTGTACAGTGAAACAAAGGTCTGTACATGTGGTAAATTGCACAGTGAAACAAGGTA